CTCCCTGGTATTTCTGGGTGGCTAATTAAAAGCCATTCTTATAATCATTCCCCTTCTGGCCCCCAAAAAGAGAGGTTAAACGGTACAGCATTAAACCGTACAACCAATTTTAATAATACATTTTCTTAAATGGAAAATACCAGTTAAGAAGAAATATAAAGGGACAATGATAAGAAAAATAGACATTATAATTTAAATGGGAAATAAATAAAATCTGAAAGGAACACTAACCTAAGAAGTCACTGGGCCAGTTCAACAAAACACAACTAACTCCAAATTCTTAGAGTTATCTGTTACTTAGCATCATAAAAAAAAATAAAAAAAGATCACATACAAAATGAAGCCAAGGTTATGTAGTACAAGATACCTGAATTGTTCTGTACTGTATATATATTTCTTCTATTAGGCATCATCTTAAATTCATGTCCTTCTTTGCGAGCCCGCCGCTGCCCCACCTCTGAGGATTCCCTGGAGAAGAGAAATTGTACAAGAATAAGCCATCTAAACAAGGATCCATTTCAATTTATTTTACTTAATGATAAGCTGTATCACACAACTCTGACCTCCAAGAAACCAGCAATACCTACGAGCATGAGTTACTCTGAGCTTCCGCCAACCGCAGCCTCTTGGCATGATTCTTCCCTTGATAGTGAGCTTGGGCCACAGCTGGAGAACTAAAGGAGGCATCACAGAGCTTGCAGTAATCATTCTCTGTAGCCAGGATCACACGGCCGCCTGGCTTAAAAGATCCCATCTAACCATAAAGACACAAGCGAAACAGGATTTAAAAACTCTGCTTCATAAGGAAAAGAAATCATTCACTGGAAATACTTAAGAATGGCTTTATATTAAAATCGCTGTGGAATGGCAATGCTATGGACTGGCAGAAGGGTCTCTGCCAGCTCCACTGAAATGAGAAAACTAGTTTAGAAACTTTGGCAGGGACTACAGCATAAGTAAGGCCTACAATAACAGAATCTCAAGAAGGAGACTTCTCCAGGATCCAATGGCCCAATGCCTATCTATCCATACCTACACAGATATAGCTATCTATATTGAGATCTTTCTACAGAAGAAAGTTCTGGTAGCCTAGTGATAAGAAACTGCTCTGCAGTCCCAAATGCATACGGTTCGAAATCTATCAACTGCTCTTAGGGAGAAGGATGGGCAATCTCTTCTTATATGAATTACTATCTCTGATAATTGGGTCAGCTATGACTTGATGTGATGGTGCCTAACAACAACATAGAGATAGATGATCTGTATCTCTGTATCTACAGCTACCTATACAAACTCTGGAAGGGGCGCATTGCACTAATCCAAAGGCTGCCATCTCCAGCAATTCAAATCCATCAGCCGCTCTGGAGGAGAAAAAACAGCAATCTCTTCCCATGCAATCTACAGCTTCAGAAAACCACTGGAAGGTTTCTATAAAGCAGAACTACCTCAAAGGCTCTATGTGTGTGTGTTATCTTGTGTATATATATTTCTTGTATGTCTGCATATATTTTTTTTTTAAAAAAGTATGTATACAAACACACAGGAAAAAGAAATCAACTTTCAAAAACTTCACAAATCAGCTCTAAAGACATAATAAGAGTCAAGATAAAAAGACTACAGAGCCAGAGTGAGGCAGCTGTATTCAGGTTGGGGAAAGTATGTGAAAGGAAACTTTATATATTGCCTGGCAGGGACTAGGAACTCAAATATTGTTTGGTTAATATGAAAATTATAAACAAGACTTCAGCTAAAGGGGATTAATAGCAGGTCATGTCCAGCCAATTCTGACTGTGGACAAACTCATGTGTATTAAACAAGAACTGTGCTCCACAAGGTTGTAATGGCTGGTTTTTTCAGAAGGACTTTTTCCAAAGCACATTTAACCATTTACAGCAGCCTGGGGTTGACAATTTGAAAATCACAGTAAGTCAGTAACCTATAAAGGAAGCAACATTTTTTCACATGGAAGGGAGTATTTTTTGGAGAGGACATGACCACTGTCTTAAGAAATTACAAAAATCTATACCATGAAAGTGTTTAAGCTCTTTGTTCAGGAAGGTGGAACCAACTGCAAACTATCTCCAGGAGGGGACAGCAGCCTATTTCTACAGCAACCTTCATAAATTCGTGACAAAAACCTAATTCACTCTCATAGCTGATCATCCAAGGGAGTTTCAGAGACTGTAAAGAACACAGGAGGAGAATGCCTATCATTCTCCTTCAGGAGAAGCTGGTAGATTCAAACTATCTGCCTTTACAATGGTGATGCAACTTCTTACCCACTAAGCCGCCAGAGCTCCCTACTTTAAAAACTTTGCTGTTCTGTACCATAGAGTCAAACTTAACCCATAGTTGACCCTCCAGCGGGTTTTCAGAGGCAGTTATCGCACAGGAATAGACTGCCCAACCTCCTCCCATGGAGTAGCTGGTGGCCTTGAACCATGTGCCTTTGGGATTAAAGTGCAACTTCTTGCCACCAGGCCACCAGAGCTCTCAACTTAAAACCTCCTCCACTTAAAGATCTTTTTGGACATTATCTTATGCCCTGATATGACTTCAAAGCATATATTATTTGCCCCTACATACATGAAAATAAAGCAGCAGCTGGCATTGCTATCCAGAGTGGAAAACCGAATGACTTTAAGAAAAAAAAATATTCAAAACAACTATGAGATATCATCTCACCCCAGTAAGAACAGCAAAATTTAACAGAACAGCAAGTAACAAATGCTGGCGAAGTTGTGGAGAAACGGCAACCCTTATTCACTGTTGGTGGGAGTGTAAAATGGTGCAACCATTGTGGAAGGTGGTATGGCACTTTCTCAAAAGATTGCAAATAGAGATACCATTTGACCCAGCAATTCCACTACTGGGAATATATCCCAAAGAGACCATAAGTGACATCCAAGCAGATATATGCACACCCATGTTTATCGTGACTTTGTTCACAATAGCAAGGAGTTGGAAACAGCCTAAGTACCCATCAACAAACGAATGGATAGAGAAGCTGTAGTATATTCACACAATGGAATACTACGCTGCATTGAAAAACAAGGAACTCATGCAATATTATTCAAAATGGGTGACCTTGGAGGACATTATGCTAAGTATCTCAGTCGCAAAAGGACAGATTCTGCATGGTGCCACTGTTGTAAAATAGGACTGACATCTGGGTTGGGGGAGACTGAGAAAGATGGGTTCAATAATGTATACTGCATTGAAAGAGATGAGGGAGAAAACTGCTTAAAAGGGATATGTGATTAGGTATTTTTGTCATGAGGGGAGTCTACAGAGAAGGCTGCATAGTGAAGTGGACCAGGGGGAGGAATTATAAAACAATGAAAGAATTTTTCCTTTCCTTTTCCAAGAGGGGAGTGTTCGGCGGGGGGGAGAGGGTTGAAAGGGGGGAAAAGTGCAACAATGAATAAATGGAAATCCAAAGTCTCTGTAAATTTTCATTGAAATTAATAATAAAAAAAATTTTTAAATGCCTAACATTTAGAAAAAAGAGGATTTTTCTAAGGGCTCAGAAGAGATTCTTGTTCCATCATTTAACAAAAAGTGTAACATCATAGTCAAATTACTTTACTCACCTGAGCCTCTAATAAGCCAGCCTCATACCCATCTACTCAATGGACAATGACCCTGAGTAGTAAGGCCCTGCTGTTGTAGGATACCATCAGATCAATAACACCTTAACAGAACAAAGCAAACTGCCCCATTGGGTTTCCTAGGCTGCACATTTCACAGAAGCCTATCATCAGGTATTTTCTCCCAAAGAGAACTGATGGTTTTGAACAGCCGATCTATTGGTTAACAGCCAAGTATTTAAATATTGTACCACCAAGGCTCCTTAAAAAGTCCTTAAGCCTTTGAAACAAGCCCCATGTCACAGTGGGTAAGAACTGGGATGTTAACCTGAAGGTTGCAGGACTGAAACCACCAGCTGCTCAAAAAGAGAAATGTGGTAATCTAGTTCCATAACATTTACAGCCTTGAAAATTCTATAGGGTGGTTCTATTCCATCTGACAGGATCACAGTCAAGTTGGAATTGACTCGGTGACATTGGGTTTGGCATGGGTTTACTAAACCTCTGCACTGTCCAGCATTCAACCATGGACTGGAGGGAGGCAAGAGAACATCCACCTCCTGCACTTGAAACCTCTGTAATCAAGGTAAATACCACTGGAATAGCATGTAATATTTTTTCCTTTTTTTGGAAGTGGAAATCATTATAATAAAGTACTATTTTATTTTTTTAAATAATTTTAAGGAACATTTACAGAGATTTTGGATTTCCATTCATTCATTGCTGGACTTCTCTCCCGCCTAGCCCTCTCCCCTCCCCCCAGTATGCTCCTCTCTTTGAAAAGTAAAACAAATACTCCCTCCCTGGTACACAATCCCCCGTACCCCTCCCACCACCCCAAGTACTATGCAACCTTAATTGTGGACTCTT